TAAATAAACTAAGCCGGGGCTGTTTAGGGCTCCATGCAGTCATGTCGGCCACATGACCTTGGAGGTGTCTACGGACAACACTGGCTCTTCGGCTTAGAAATGGAGATGAGCACCACACCCCAGAGTCAGACATGACTGGACTTAATGTCAGGGGACTACCTTTACCTTTACCTAGGCCAAAGCTAGCACTTTGAATTGTGCTCGGTAGCAAACCAGCAGCCAGTGGAGCAGGCACAACATGGGAGTTGTGTGCTCCCTTTATGCCACCCCAGTTATTAACCTGGCTGCCTTTCATCGGACTATTTGATGCCTCTGAACAGTCTTCAAAGGCAACCCCACATAGAGTGCATTGCAGTAGTCTATCCTGGCTGTAATGACAGCATGGACCACCATGCCTAGTCTGATTTCCCAAGGTACAGCCAAAGATAGCGCACAAGTTTTAATTGTGCAGAAGTTCCCCTGGCCCCCACCGCAACCTGGGATTCCAGGATCAGCAATGAGTCCAGGAGGACTCCCAAGCTGTCAACCTGTGCCTTCAGGGGGAGTGTAACCCCACCCAGCACAGGCTGTAACCCTTGTGACTGACCAGGAGTATTTATATCTTGTCTGGATATAAATCCAGGGCCTTCTCGATGGTGGCCCCTCGGCTATGGAATGCCCTACCCGCAGACATCAGGCAGGCCCCTTCGTTGCTGGAATTCCGGAGGAAGGTCAAGACGTGGCTCTATGAACAGGCGTTCGGTCAACAAGGCAACTGAACTCATGAAGACGGTATAAATGAACAAAGGAATGGTAGAAGGATTATGAGAACGGAATCTGATTTTTACTGAGGCGTTGATGACTACGTTGTGTTGTCTTGTATTGTCTGTCGTGTATGTTGTGTTTTAACTAATTGTTATTGTTATATAAATTGCATTGTAAACCGCATTGAGTCGCCGAATTAGGCTGAAAAATGCGGTATAAAAATAAAGCAAATAAATAAATAATAAATAAACTTCAATTTGTTCGCCCTCATCCAGACCATCACAGAGGCCAGACATGGTTCAGGACCTGAACAACCTCCTCAGCATCTGGTGGAAAGGAGTGATAGAGTTGCACATCATCTGTGTAGATGGCATCTAACTCCAAAACTCCAGATGATCTCATCCAGCAGCTTCATGTAGATGTTAAACAACAAGGGGGACAATGTCGATCCTTGTGGGACACCACAGGACAATGGCTGTGGGTCCGAACAGGAGTCCCTCAACAACACCTTCTGGGTATGATCCTCCAAGAAGGACTGGAGCCACTGCAAAACAGTACCTCTAAGACCCATCCTCACGAGGCAACCTCACAAGGCAACTTGTAGCCTTCACTGCTGCAGAATACGCCCTTGCATAGGCGCATGCCCGTGTTCGGCCTGATTTGTTGGTTTCTTTGCCTCAATCTTCGCACAAAAAGAAAACCATCCTCAACCTCAGCAACACTGAGAGGATGAAGGATTAGGGAAAATCCAACCCCAAACAGGGAAACAAGTTATCCAGGAATATCTGGCTGATCTAAACGAATTCAAGTCGCCAGGGCCAGATCAACTGGTCCAGTCAGCCTCACGTCGATACCAGGCAAGATTCTGGAAAAGATTGTAAAGGAAGTGGTCTACAAACACTTAGAAACAAATGTGGTCATTGCTAATAGTCAACACGGATTTATCAAAAACAAGTCATGCCAGACTAATCTGATCTCTTTTTTCGATAGAGTTACAAGCTGGGTAGATGCGGGGAATGCTGTGGATGTAGCGTACCTGGATTTCAGGAAGGCCTTTGGTATCCTTTGAGAGCGAAACAGAGAAGACAATTCAGGCATTGGCACGGAACTGGAGAACATAGTCATAGGATCTTAGAGCTGGAAGAGACCAGGTGGGCCATCATCCAGTCCAACCCCATTCTGCCAAGAAGCAGGAAAATCGCATTCAAAGCCCCCCGCCCCTGTCAGATGGTTATTCAGTCTCTGCTTCAAAGCCTCCACAGAAGGAGCTCCATCACATTCACTCCAGGGCAGAGAGAGAGAGAGAGAGAGAGAGAGAGAGAGAGAGTTCCACTGCTGAACAGCTCTCTCTCTCTCCCAATCAGGAAGTTCTTCCTCATGTTCAGGTGGAATCTCCTTTCTTTCCTGCAGTTTGAAGCCATTCCTCCATTGCGTCCTCTCCTCCAGGGCAGCAGAAAGAAGCCTGCTCCCTCCCCCCCACCTATGACTTCCCCTCCCATCTTGACCCCTGGCCCTTATCCTGTCTCCTCTCCGCCTTCTCTTCTGAAGGCTATACATGCCCAGCAGCTCTTTCAGCCTCTCTGACCTCATAGGGCTTGTTTTCCAGACCCTGGATCCTTTGAGTAACCCTCTTTCTCTGGACACAGTATTCCAGCTCAGAGTCAACATCTCCTTTCAATTGTGGTGCCCAGAATAGGTGAGTACCCTTTGGATTCATTCGCTTAACCAATTCCAATCTGCCTATTCGTAGTTTTGCCTAGCCCACATTTGACTAGTTTGTTTGCCAGAAAGTCATGGGGGACCTTGTCGAAGGAGGGAAGGCCTTCCTGAAATCCAGGTATGCTCCATCCTTTTACCCGTTATTCGATTTTATGATTTATATGGATCCACATTATGGTTCATCACAGTTAACTATTATCTTTGGTCAACTTAAATGTAGAAACCACGAAACTTTCCCTATCACCAATTATTTTCAGCCTTCACCAGTTAGTTAATTCAAAGTAGGGAGAGACCAGTTGAATCACTGCATGAAGGGCAATTCAACACAAGGGCAAATCCCAATGATACAACATATTATCATTGGGACCAACAATGGAATTTAGGCTTTAGATAACCGGATTCTTTCCTCACAGACAGTATGTGTTGTAGTAGAGTCAGTTGGCAACTCTGCAACTCGTGGTAGGAGCGTCAGGGGAGGGAAACGAGGTATTCAAGAGCTTGATGAGGAACAGCAGAGGAAGAGGATCCGGGAGATACTTATGTCACCCACTGATGAAGAGTCCTTTGACGGGTTCTCCGAAAGTGAAATGTGTGAGGAGGAGGAAGGAGATACAGTAGATATTAATAGAGGTACTAAGAGGATTACTCGGGAGCAGAAGTCAGATGAAGAGCATCAGAGAAAGAAGATCCGGGACATACTTACTGCTCCCATGGAGGAAGAGGGTTTCATGGGTTTTTCTGGGAATGATGGGTCTGGGAGTGATGGCGAAGAGGAGAAAGCACTAGATTGGACCAAGGTACAAGAGGTTCAGAATGTGTGTACTCATCAACATCCAGTGACACATTTGCAGAGTTTTCTGGTGGTGGGGATTTGCATACTGTAGAATCATGGGGAGACCTAAGTCTTGACAAGAGGTGGAAGAGTTGGAGGGATGTGCGTTGTCGCTCAGCTGTGGAAGCTCACCTACCTGAGAGTGATGAGGACGGGGTGGAGGGCAGCTCATCATCAGATGATGAGTTGTAAGATAAAAGTTGGCACTGAAGTGTTAGAACTTTGCAGTAGGCAAAGTGTTGGTTTCGTGCCTTGGGTCTTGTCCCTGCTGCTTTCCTGTTGGGCTTGGGTCCTGGATCTGCAGGTTGCTGTTTTGCTTCGTGTACCGGTCGGCTTAGATTCTCGTAAGTGCGGATTTCCCCTCTCCTTGACTTCGGACTGCTTTTGACGACAAGGCTGCCTTGTGGACTTAGGAACCTTCAAACCTTGGACTTGGATTTCTTCGACTTTGGACTTCATTTGGATGACGGCTCTTCTTCACGGCTCTTTTTTTGATTGTTTTCCTTTTATTGTGTGATTTTGGGATGTTTTGGAAGAACTCCTGTTTAATAGGCTTGGGTAACCACGGAAAAATTTGGTTCTAAACTCGTTTCGTTTTTAGGGGGGCCCTTGCGTTTCGTTTTTTTTAAAGAATTCCAAAATTTTCCTTTAAAAAAGTTCAAAATATACAAAATATCGTAAAATTACGAATCTATTTGTTAATGGCGGACGCAATTGCGCAATATGCTAAAAAACCCTCCAAATGGGACAGGGGGAACTTCTGAAGCTTCCCTCTCCCTCTGTTGTTGACTGTTGGTGCGATAATTTTTTTTATCACTGATAAAACAAACAACAACTATAAAACTTGCACCAGACACACGGAAATAATTATGAAACAATTACGAAACAATTTCGAAACAATTTTGAACCAATTACGAAAAAATTACGAAACAATTCGAAATAAATTGGAAAAAATGTTTCGATTTTTAATTACTCCTCACAGTAGTCCTGCATGGCTCAATATTGGATCGTAAGCTAATTTAAATACGAATTAATAACGAATTACAAAATTAACGAACGAAACCGCCCAAGCCTACTGTTTAATCCGGGTTTTTTGCCAGGATAATCCGGATTATTGACTAAATTGGTTTTTCAAGCTAGAAATTGCTACAACTTTTGAGTTTTGACCAGAGACACTGAAGTAAGTGTCTCTGTTTACTTTGCTTTAATAAACTATTCTTTTGGACATACTCCCGAGTCTGGCTCTTTAAGGCATCTGCGTTCCAACAGTATGTGTGGACAGGTTGCTGTGACCAATGGGATGTTGTGGCGAGATATGCAAGTGAAGATATGCTCTCTGCTAATTGCCTCAGCATTAGGTGATGTATTGCGCACTGCGTGCCAAGGAGCTGATAAGTGACGGCATTAATAGCAATGCTTGATAAATGGCAAGCGATTAAACTTTAACTCGGGTGTGAATGGCGCTAAAGTTCAACTGTATGCCATTTATTAAGGCTGCTTCAGAGTGAGATTTGCTTCAGTTTGTCAATATTTGAGGGGGCCAAACGTGGGGCCAGTGCACCTGGGAAGCGCATACGAAGAATACGGGGAAATTAAGCAGGAGTAAAAAGTAGCATTCTTTTCTAGACATGCACAGGAGAGAAATCAGTGGTTAAAGGGTTAAGACAGCAGAGTGTGAAGAGGGACAGAGTAGGTCCATTTCCGGCCAGAAGTTGGATGTCACTTTCCTGTGCGCTGTACTAACTGATAAGTGGCGAGTGAAATCGCAAATTTGATCTTTTGCCATGTTAAGCCTGCTGTTTGCCACGTAACTGGACTGCTTGTGAGTAAAGGTAAATAAAGGTGAAAAGCTGTTGCTTGTGAACTGATAAAAACAGAGACTGGGCTGATTAATTGCTGTGTGCTCGTGAACAGATGTTTGCTGAATCAGAAGCAAAGGGTAGGAAGGAACTGGGAAAGAGATTGATGGGTGCCTCCACTCCTTGCCGAAACATCAACAGGGCACCCCTCTCCTGCGAACTCATGGAAGGAAAGGCCTCTTTTGGGGTTGGGAATCCAGGAAAGAGAATCCCTTCTATGGGTTCTCGACTTGCCAAACTCAAGGAAAGCCTGAAATGCAAAAGACCCAAACATCCAAAACCGCCCATACATGTGGCTGAGATAGTAATGACTCATTTGCTTTCAGATGGGTCAAGGTTCACAAACTTTTTTTGTACACAAAATTATTACAATATTGTGAAAAAAATATCTTCAGATAGATATGAAACCTGAAGATAATTGTATTCACAATATTGTAATAATTGTGTGTATGAAACAAAATATGAAACAGGAGTCCCCCGGTGGTGCAGCAGGTTGAACCACTGACTTGCTGAACTTGCTGACCGAAAGGTTGATTGTTCGAATCCAGGGAGTGGGGTGAGCTCCCGCTGTTAGCCCCAGCTTCTGCCAATATAGCAGTTCGAAAACATGCAAATGTGAGTATATCGATAGGTACCGCTTCTCCGGCGCTCCATGCAGTCATGCCTCATGGCCTTGGAGGCATCTGCGGACAACGTCGGCTCTTCAACCTAGAAATGGAGATGAGCACCAAAGTCCCAGAGTCGGACATGACTGGACTTGATGAGAAACGTTTACCTTTTATAGGAAACATACAGTTAGGCTTTTAAAGAAGAAGAAGGCTTTCAAGATTGTCAGGGGCTGCTGTGACTTTATATGCTTTTAATGATGTCTAATACTGTCTTAATAATTGTATATTTGAAGTTGTAATGCAATGCTTTTAGTTGTGACACATTTTCAGTCCCCCTATAGCAGTGGTTCTCAGCTTGTAGGTCCCCAGATGTTTTGGCCTACAACTCTCAGAAATCCCAGCCAGTTTACCAGCTGTTAGGATTTCTGGGAGTTGAAGGCCAAAACATCTGGGAACCCACAGGTTGAGAACCATTGCCCTATAGAGAGAAAAAATGGGATATAAATAAACATAAACATAAACATAATAATAATAATGTTGCAATCCCAGGCAACAGCAGGATTGAAGAGAAACAACTGGAAAAACTGACACAATATGAGGATTTAAAGATCAAGTTACCTATCCGAACGCATCTCCGCCTATGAACCCATTAGGACTTTAAGATCTTCTGGGGAGGCCCTGCTTTCTATCCTGCCTGCAACTCATGCACGGTTGGCGGGAATGAGGGACAGGGCCTTCTCGGTGGTGGCCCCTCGGCTGTGGAACGCCCTACCCACAGACATCAGATCAGCTCCTTCATTAATGACATTTCGGAAGAAAGTGAAAACCTGGTTATTTGAACAGGCGTTTGAATAGGCAGTGCAATGAATTACAATGAATTATAGGAAATCGGAACAACGGATGACGAGCTTGGATTATGATTTTAGTTATGAGACGCTAGTGAGTTGTTTATTGATGTTTACTGATGGTTATTGATGTTAATTGCTTACTGTATTATTGTGATAATTGTTTTTAAATGGCTGTACGATGTTGCATTTAATTTTTGCCGCTATTTGTTGTTAACCGCTCTGAGTTGCCTAATGGCTGAGAAGAGCGGTATACAAATAAAGTAAGTAAATAAATAATAAATAATAAACTGCAAAGACTCTGGCACAAGCCAGTCAAGAGGGGATGGGCACACTGGGTGCAGTGCCTAAAGACCTTGGCCTGCACTTAAACACAATTGGTTCTGACCTAATCACTACCTGTCAACTGCAAAGGGCCACCCTACTGGGATTTGCACACATTATTCACCAATACATGACATAGTCCTAGACTTGGGAAGTGTCTGACGTGTGATCCAATACAAAAGCAAGCAGAGTGATTTTGTTTGCTGTGTATAATCATCATCATCATCATCATCATCAATGAATTTTGAGTTCTGATTTGGGTCTCACCTCCAAGGTATCTCATTGCATATTTTGGTCTTCCAAAATCTGAAGAGATCCTAAACACTTTTGCTCCCAAGCACTTTGCATACAGAAGACTCAAGTGGGATTGTACATGGTCCCAATAAATGCCCCAGTGTTTCATTGATCGTGCTATATTATTTTCATCCCAACTCTGTTTCCTTTGCTGCGTTTAAGAAACCCTTACTGTTGGAAGGACTCCATTGGCAATCAACCTTGCTATTCACAAATAGATTGACAACAGATTAAAATACGACGGGTTGGCATTGGGAGCCTTGTTGTCACACTTGCTTTGAGAACAGAACTTTGGGAAATACTTTGGAAGAGGCTGGAAGATATTACTCTTTCTTGATAGATTTGAAGATTTTAGTCTCCAAATGCAGCACCTTGGCCAACGTTTTTGCATAATTAGATGTGTTGAATGTTTTCCTTGCACCCGACAAAAGTATATTTCCTGTTTTCCCAGGACTTATAAACATTAAATATGTGTTGCTTTCCCGTTATTTCAGTTCCGTGTACTTCCTTGTTCATCCTTTTTATTGCCAGCATTCTGGTGTTTTGTTTTCCCTGCTTTTCCTTTCCGATTGCCTCTTTTGCAGCTGTGTTTTTGCCTCCGACATAAGATCCTCATTTGTCTTTTTCTGAGAATGAGAAACCACAGACACTTTTCGGCAAGACAGGGAGATTTTTCCAAGTAGGATCAACACAAGTTCTCAGATCTGTGTGAATGATTTTAGCATTGGCACAGAACTGCCGTAACTGCGGTCTTGTTCCACCAGCTTTTAGAATGAGAAGCATTGTCTTTGCATTTTCTTTGAGTCAGACAGACATTCCATGCTTTGGTGTGTTTTGGGGAACACGGCCCGGAATTTGGCAAATGTGTACATTTACCCCATATACTCATGTATAAGTCTAGACATTCAGCCCCAAAAACTGTGTTGACACCTCCATGGGTCAATGTGAGTACTAGACATGCTTAGGTCCAGCCTGAATCTTCATAATTCGGATTAATTTCGGATCTAATTCCCCTTTGAAGCGATTTCGAAGCGATTTGGGAACCTGGAAGTATCCTTGCCATTTTGAAGCCACTGTCACCACGACTCAGGAAGTGATTCGGAAAAGACCCAGCGTTTGGAGGCAAGCAGTAGCTTGCATGCTGGGATGCTTGCCTCCAGCCAATGAGGGGAAACCATGTGGGGAGTGGCGGGGTTTCAGCAAGGTTCGAGCCAGAGACGTGAAAGGCTGCTGGGGTGGGAAAGGTGCCACACCACCACTTAGCAAGGGAACAACAGGGTTGGGAACAACCACTTTCCTTGGAGAACCAGACCATAAAAGTTTGCAGCCTTCCTTTCTCTGCCTGGGGTTACACGTTATTTTGGAAATTAGAAATCTCTTAATCTTTTCCTTGGGGAACCAGACCATAAAAGTTTGCAGTCCTCTTTCTCTGCCTTGGGGTTACACGTTGTTCTTTTGGAAACTAGAAATCTCCTATTCTAGTGAGGCTTCCCTGCAGCCGCGCATCTCCATTTCTCCAAGAAGAAGCAGAAAGGAAAACCATACACTTGGCTGGATCATGCACTGTTCTTGTTGTTGTTCATTTGTTCAGTCGTCTCCGACTCTTTGTGACCTCATGGACCAGCCCACGCCAGAGCTCCCTGTCGGCCGTCACCACCCCCAGCTCCTTCAAGGTCAGTCCAGTCACTTCAAGGATGCCATCCATCCATCTTGCCCTTGGTCGGCCCCTCTTCCTTTTATCTTCTACTTTCCCCAGCATAATTGTCTTCTCTAGGCTTTCCTGTCTCCTCATGATGTGGCCAAAGTACTTCAACTTTGTCTCTAGTATCCTTCCCTCCAGTGAGCAGTCGGGCTTTATTTCCTGGAGGATGGACTGGTTGGATCTTCTCGCAGTCCAAGGCATTCTCAGCACTTTCCTCCAACACCACAGCTCAAAAGCATCGATCTTCCTTCGCTCAGCCTTCCCTAAGGTCCAGCTCTCACATCCGTAGGTGACTACAGGGAATACCATGGCTTTGACTAGGCGGATCTTTGTTGCCAGTGTGATGTCTCTACTCTTTACTATTTTATCGAGACTGGACATTGCTCTCCTCCCAAGAAGTAAGCGTCTTCTGATTTCCTGGCCACAGTCTGCATCTGCAGTAATCTTTGCACCTAGAAATGCAAAGTCTGTCACGGCCTCCACAGTTTCTCCCTCTATTTTCCAGTTGTCAATCATTCTTGTTGCCATAATCTTGGTTTTTTTGATGTTTAGCTGCAACCCGGCTTTTGCGCTTTCTTCTTTCACCTTGATTAGAAGGTTCCTCAGCTCCTCCTCGCTTTCGGCCATCAGAGTGGTGTCATCTGCATATCTGAGGTTGTTAATGTTTCTTCCAGCAATTTTCACCCCAGCTTGCATTCATCCAGCCCCGCACATCGCATGATGTGTTCTGCATACAAGTTAAAAAGGTTGGGTGAGAGGATGCAGCCTTGCCGTACGCCTTTCCCAATCTTGAACCAGTCTGTTGTTCCGTGGTCAGTTCTTACTGTTGCTCCTTGGTCCTTGTACAGATTCCTCAGGAGAGAGACAAGGTGGCTTGGTATGCCCATCCCACCCAGAACTTGCCTCAATTTATTATGATCCACACAGTCAATGGCTTTAGAATAGTCAATGAAGCAGAAGTAGATGTTTTTCTGAAACTCCCTGCCTTTCTCCATTATCCAGCGGATATTGGCAATCTGGTCTCTCGTTCCTCTGCCTTTTCTAAACCCAGCTTGAACATCTGGTAACTTTCGCTCCATGTGTTGCTGGAGTCTTCCTTGCAGGATCTTGAGCATTACCTTATTGGCATGAGAAATAAGGGCCACTGTACAGAATTTGAGCAGTCTTTAGCATTTCCCTTTTTTGGTATGGGGATATAAG